GTCTGAAGAGCTGCGCCATGCCTGCAGGCTAGGTGCTGCCACGTATTGGGGGGAGGGGGCCAAGCCAGGCTGGAAGAGTCATGCGCTACCTGAAAGGGAGGCAAAGGGGTGTTGTGGCCCGATACTAGTCGGCCAGATCTGAGAGAAGGTTTTAGAGATTTCTGGGTTAGATCAGGGAGAAGGTTTATTTAAACAACTGTGTTCAACAACAGAGGGATGGTTACAAATAACAATAAAACACTAAATATGACTATAACATACAATAACACCACAAACATAAACATCTATCAATGGCACTTATCAGTCAGTCAGAGCTGGTGGCCAAGCGTGCGCACTTTCTGTCCAATTAGGCTTTGTTAGCCTCTCACAAGTCAGGTGTCCCCGAGTTTGTGAGCTGACTGTGGCCAGACTCTGGCCGGTGAGGTGTAGTCCAGTGCGATCCTCGTCGCAACCTTAGTCTCTGACTGATTGAGTCAAAGGTGATGGTTCCCGTGTCAATCTCGAATGTCTCCACCACTGTTTGCACAAGTTGAGACTTTATTCTGTTGGCTGAGCCACTCACAATCTTAGGTTTGAATCATACCCGTATTTGGAAGATGCCACCCCTTATGGATACAAGCCTTGGAAAGCACGCATCATTGCGTAGGAGAAAACACATAGTCATTTACCTGCCAGACTGAGCTATGGAAATTCCCATGAAAATTCTCCAAACCCCACTGGGAATTCCCCCACAGAGGGCAGCTGGGGCTGGGCTAGCCTGGCCAGGAGCATTGCACCATACTGCCTTTGTGGGCCACGATGCTGGGAGGGTCTTGGGTGCTAGTGCCCCCCAAAATTTATGTTCCCCCCCCTCCGGCTGAGCTACCCCTCCCAGGGCTGCTGCCTGCCTGCAGAGACACAGTGTGGTGGTGGCGCTCCCCGCCAGGCCCAGCCCAGCCTGGCCCTCTGCATCTGCAGCCTGTGGGGCTGCTCGGGACAGCCAGGCAGCAGCTCCCTGCACATAAGTGTAATGGGGCGGGGGGCGGGGGGAATGATACTGAGCCACAGGTGGGAAAGAGTGGCTTAGAGGAAGGGCAAATCATTCACCCCTGTCCTGGCCTGCTCCCTCCTGCACTGTGGGAATGGTCCCATGACCTGGTAAGGTCGGAGCCCCATTCATGATGAATGGGGCCCTGGCCCAGCTAGGTCGTGGGACAATCAGAGACTGGCGCCTCCTCCAGAGGTACAGTGCTTGGCAGCCAAGGAGGGGGAGGACACATGGCCCCCCGATCTTTCAACAGGTGAGGGCAGGCCACAGTTGCGACCTGGGCTCAGCCTCTGCTCTGTGTATCCACACCTCGCCACTGCCACTTTGAAAGCAGCGGGTGCTGCCATAGGCCTCGCTACCTGGCCCACCCAGCGGTGGGTCGCATATGGTGGCACCTGCTGCTTTTGAAGCAGAGGTGTCAAGGTGCAGAGACATGGAGCAGAGGCTGAGCCCAGCTTACAGCTGCAGTCCACCCTCACCCATGCAAAGATTAGGGGCCATGTGCCCTCCCGCCTTGGCTGCCCAGCACCATACCTCTGGAGGAGCTGCCAAGCTCTTCCTGGGGACAACGCGGGGCGGGGCGGGGCGGGACAGGGCAGGCACAGGGGTCCTAGGGCTCCATCTTCTCTAGCCCAGTGGTGTAGCTGAGGCTGGCGCCAGTGTGGCCAGGTGGCAGCCATGGCCAGGGCCAGTGTGGCCGGGAGGCTGCCAGAGCCAGGACTGGTGCAGCCAGGTCCAGGAGGCAGCTGGGGCTGGGGCCAGTGTGGCTGGAGCCAGGAGGCAGCTGTGGCCAGTGCAACATCCAGGGCTGGTGTGGTCAGGGCCGGGAGGTGGTCGGGGCTGGGGTGGTGCAGCGTGGTGCCAGGCAATGCCCCTCCCCCCTCAGACTTTTCCATGGGGGGTTGTGCTCATACACGCTCAACCACCCCAAATTTTTTTTCTTCCTCCGCCTATGGTCATATCTTTTATTGGGGGAAAGATTTTATCATTTCCGGTTTCGCCATTGTGCTCTGCTGCCACTTTTGCCCCCTCCCTCCACTCTGCAATCAACTGCTGGGTTCTCCCTCAGCTGCTCTGCAACGGAAGGTGGGGAGCAAATGTAAGCATTTGCCCCCAGGTGCCAAAGAGCCATGGTACGCCACTACCTATCTTGGTTGTAATGCTATTTCTTTCTTATTATAAGGTCTTCATTACTACAGCAACCAATTGCTTCCCAAACATTTTCGAAAGCAATGATAAATAACACAGAAAACTTTCCCTGTGAATTTCAACCACAGTATTCTAGGTTTGGAAACCCAAACAACAGCTCTGGCACAGCCTTTGGGAAGGGACCTGGACAGATTGTTGTGATGTTCCCACTGTCCTCAGCTGCCAGGACAACCTGTTATAGCTTGATGCAGTTCTAATCTAACTTGCTCTGGAGATTTCAGCTGGTTCCAAGACCAGGGAAGTGTAAAAGTAGTTTCCTTCACTAGAAACCTTGTATAAACAGAAACTAACAATACAGGGATTTCTTCCAAGACTAAAAGATTCCTTGCACTCTAAGACAAGGGTGGGCAAAATACAGCCTGCAGGCGATATCCAGCCTGCTGGCTACCATCAAGAGCCAGAGGAGGGAGGGCTGCACCTCATGCCATTCCACTCTGCCGCAGCTGGAGCAGAGCTGGGCCATACAGTGCATATATTCCTTTGTTCCAGCCCCCCACATCCATCCCCTGACCCTGCCCAGCTTCCTCCACTGTGCCGCTAAGGGAGTCTATGCCTGCTGTGGGGGGAGGCTTAGCCTGGAGCAGCTGTATCCAACTTTCCCAGTGTGGTGCAGTGGCTCATTGCAGCATGTGGATGGGTGAGGCAGCTACTCGGTGCACTGCATCGTGCCTAATCCAGTGAGGGTTCAGCTGCCAGCACACATGGTGCTAGAACTGCATAACGCCAACAGGAAGCCGGGCGGGGTGGGAGAGGAAATGGATGTGGAGGTGCAGAGGAGTCTGTGTACTGCAGGGCTCAGCCCAGCCTGGCCCCGATTGCAGCAGAGCAGAGCGACACAGGGCGCAGCCCTCCCTCCTCTGGCTTGCAGTGGTGGCTGGCAGGCCAGATAAGCTCAATTGGCATGTCCCCATCCCTACCTCCCTGCTCCAGCCCTCAACAGTTCACCAAAACTCCTTAGTGGCTCTACTTCCCAAATAATTGCCCACCCCTGCTCTAAGAAAAGGAACTAGGAGATTACATGTAATAGTGCCACCTGGTGATTCCTTCACTAGCAAGAAATTCCTTGTTAGAGTTTGGTATAGATCATTGTCTTTAGAACACTGTTGTATATGCCTCTAAGAACTGACTTTTGATAGTATATCATGGACATGTTCATTGTAATAAGCAGTTACATTAGTAAGGATCACTGATCTTTAATTGCTGCTTCTAAGTAGAAGCCACTTTGTCTCACCAGATTTCCATTTCCCTTAGGATTCCTATCAGAGCCATATCAAATACCTCCTATGGAATGTGGTTACCTGCAAAATGAGTTTCTGGCTTCTGCTGACTTTCCCAGCTGCTACATTGTATTGCTGTGACACCTGCTAGCACAGCCAAGAACTGCCTCTAATATGCTGGTCAAAATATCATAAAATAGACACCAGTCAGAATGTAGTGAGAAAGGAGTGAAGAAAAATACAAACTAAAAATGCTGAGTTCAGACGACAGGATAAAATCTATAGAAGTACAAGTGGTAAACTTGGAAGAAAATAGTATAAGAATTTATTGCTAGAGTGGAGACACTCAAAAGTGCAATGGTGTTTGCAAACCAAATAAATATGTTCTGTGTTGGCCACTGGGTTGCTCCAGTTTGCAATAGACTGAAGAATGCAAGAGGTGCAATTTGTCGCATTAGAAGTATTTTTTATAACTTGACAATTCACAGAATAATACTAAACAGATGAGAGTGAAGGAACTGCATTGCATCACCCTTATGACCTGTTGAGGGGGAATTACAATCAGTGAGTAAGAGTGGGACCAGACGCCAGTGTCATGACAAATGGCAGGCCTGCTGCCTACTATGCAGTATTGCAAATACCTGTGGTGTCCAGTTTTGCATATCCAACAGATTAGAATAAGCAACCCAAAACATTTAGCTAGATATCCAAACCAAATCCCAAGTCTGAGGTACACCCATCACAGTCTGAAGGCTAGATATTTTTATATGTATTAAAACATGCTTAAAATTAATCTTTTGTTTGATCTGGAGACAATTAATTTATATTACATTATTCTTATTTTATTTAGGATACTGGACTGCTACCAAAATGCTCATGCTGGGAGCTTTCATACAGCTAGAACATACCTTTAGCTGTGTTTTAATGTGTTCAATCAGTGTTTTTACATTAAGTAAATTTCATAAAGGAACAAGGACTGCTTGATTTTTCAACATCATTTGTTTTTACTTCGTTTCTGATACATTTTTATTTTGAAATTACATTAAAATTAGATGATCTACAAATGGTTGCCAAGCTGTCCAAGATCAAAGAAGGTCCAACTCAGAGACTGGATCTTCTTTTGACCTGAGTTGCAAAGATACCAAGCAGTCACAGCTCCATTCAAGCCAGGGATTTCAATGGGAGATTTGAGTGCCCAGTGTATTTGAAAGTGAGATTACTTATTACATCAGTTTCACAGATTTTTGAGGAGTTTGAGAATGCTCAACTTTGTCTTCCCACTGTTCTCAAGGCTTTGCGCTATAATGGACACAAATGCAGCAAACTCTGATTTTTGTCTTCGCTAGGAAAAATGTGTTTATTACTGTCCAAGTGTTAATAGTTAACAACAAAAACTAAGGAAAATCCAAGGGAAGGTGAATCAGGCTGTGGAGCACATTAGAGCAGGCTTAAGTCCTCCTCTAAAAAGCACCAGCTGTAATAGCTCTCCACTGGCTATTAAACCCACAAGGCTAGCAGGAACATAGTACATTCTAACCAGGGGCAGATCTGGAGGGGGCACAGTGGTACGGCTGCACCCACTTTTCAGATTGGATTGTGCTGCTGGAGCTTCTAGGGACTTTAAAAAAGTCCTCAAAGTGGAAGAGACTCCCCCTTTTCTCTCTCTGTCAGAGGCACATCCCCTCCCCTTCTTCTGTCCCTCACCTGCCAGGGCTGCTTTTGTTACTATCCTGGGGGCAGAGGAATCTTCAGAGTTCCTCCTGCCTCCTCCAGCCAGGGTACACTGGGGCTGGACTCACCTAGGACAGTGACAGTGGTAGCTGCCTTCCCACGCTTGCTCCAGCAGTATGGGTGAACCACCCCTCCTCCCCCATTACTGCTGCTGCTGTTCCCAGCAAAGCCCAGCTTCCGCGCAGCCTGGCTGGAGTGGGAGGGAGCAGCTCCGAAGCTTTTCCCACTCCTGGGACAGTGGGGAAAGCAGTAGCAACTGGAGGAGGAGAGGATGTAAAGGAGGGGAGGACACATGCCTCTGTGCATGGAGTGAAAGATGGGAATTCTTACCTGCTTTGGGAACTTTAAAAAGTCTCCACAGACTCCTGCCTGCACTGGTGGGTTGTGGGATAGGAGGCTGGGAGCAGGGGTGCAGTCACCCCTGCACCTCCACTGGCTGCTCCTATGCCGCCCTTTGCCAAATCCTGGATCCACCCCTGATTGTAACCCCACATGCTCAGTTTTTAAATACCTCTTCCTGACCCTTATTGTGGAGGCTTGCACAGAGCCAACTAGAATAGTTTTATACTGGCTAAGAACGACTGCAGGCTACTTGGCTGTGCATTTAGAACAGCCTGAGTGGCATAAATAGACATTACGATGAACTGCATCTGGCCCTTGCATTTGAATTCTCCTTGGATCATAGTAGTGACACTGAATGTTTTCTTTCATTGCTTTCCAATGCTGTTCTTCTTTTGTCTTAATTAGCATGGAGAATAAAATACATCAAGCCTGGGTAACAAATGAATATGCTGAAGCCCAGCTGCACGACATTGTCAGAAGAATGCAGGCAAGGACAGCAGCCTATAAAGAAAACCTGACTGATGCATTATTGTCCTCTCCTGAGGCTAGCCCGACAGCATGTAAGTCACTTCAGTTCTCAATAGGTAGCTATTAATTTGGTGGGTGGGTTTAAGAGGAAAATCATTTTGTGGGAGTTTAAATGCTGAAAGAAAATAGCCAATCCTCAGCTGGTATAAGACAGTGCTTATCTACTCTAGGCAATGCAGTAATGTTGACAGCAGTTGAGAATATGGTGTTATCCATACTGTAATGAGCCACAGGTTTAAATAAGTCAATAGACGTAAATCTCAAGCTGTCTAGAATCATTTCAAACTACGTTCTAGACCCTCAAGTACATGTTAATATAGCAATTCAGGGGGCACATATATGATACTTATAGTGAAGTATACATATTCTATTCAGGAGTGTACCAATAACACTAAGATGAGATTTTTTTTGCAAAAACAAAGTTTGAGGCAGGATGGTAATTACCCAGCCTTATTAAAGATGCCATGTATATAGCTTAAAATTCAATAAGGCAGAGCAAGGTAATGGATCCCACCTGAAATTAATTAAACATTATGATCATACTGCTCATCTTCAGAGAAAAGCTCATTTCCCCCTTCCCACTCCTCCCTCCCCCTGCTTTGCACAAGAGAAGGAAGAGTGGATAGTTTTTATATTCTCCACTCTGCAGAAAATATCTATTTATCATTATAGCAGGGAGGCTGAATATATGCATGAGTACCTAAAGTATTATAAGCTGTTCCAACTAATAAAGAAATTATGGTCTTAGGGGTTTTTTAATTACTTCTTTGCCAATTAACTGAATTCCCCCCATCTGGTACTTAACAATCATTTATTTTTAACTCTTAAAGGATCCAATTTATTACACAGATTGAGTATCTCACGAGCTCCACTGAAATCATTGAGAATGAAACCGCTTGGTGCTAGAGTGGCTGAACCAGCCCCAGAGACTTGCATCCCTTTTGTGTGAAGCAGTCATGCAAGGCTAAATTCCAAAGTGGAGCCCATTAGTACAGGCTGTCTTAGATTGTCTCAGCTCTACACCAAGATTGCTCATGTGTACTCTGCAGGGAAATCTAGTGAGGTATCACATTTCACACTGTGACACCTAACACCAAATGTCCCATTGGTATTACCAGATGTTCCTGCTTATGTCACTGCTGATTTTTATCCTCCAATCTGGTTTATAATGTATGCTGTACTATTACAAAGTACAGCTATAATCACTGAGAAGTGTATTTAATAGGGTTTCTAATATGTTAGGGCTCTTGATCTGTCAAAACAAGGAGTATACATGCCCTTATTAAAATATTACTTTTTGTGACATACATACTTAGCTCCATCTAAAAAGAAGCCACAGCCACTTCCCCCCCCACCACCACCACCAAAAGAAGAAAGAGAAGAAGGAGAAGCCAAGCTGGAGGAGGATCATTACTGTGACATGTGTTGCTATAAATTCAAGAAACCTCCTCTGAAAAAATATCTGAAGATAATAAGGCTTCCAGAGAGCATAGATGCTTACACAGGTAAATCAAATGCAGTTGTTCAAAGGAAAATGCTAAAGATATAATCAAGTTATACATTTCTTTCTTCTGCAGCACCCAGAGGCCCCAACTGAGCCGAGAGCTCTACTGTACAAAGCTATAGGGGGAGACCGTTCTGGCCCTGAACTTTCAGTCTAAGTATTTGGGGGTGAGCGTGGACACAGAAACACAGAGACCTAAAATGACTTATCCAAGCCCACACAATAAGACAGAGGTAAAGCCTATTTAAGTGTGTGTGTGTGTGTGTGTGTGTGTGTGTGTGTGTGTGTGTGTGTGTGTGTGTGTGTGTGTAAAAAAAGAGTCCAGAGCCATAAAAGCAATGTACCTGTGCACTGGGGCTATATTACCCCTCCATTGTTGGGGTAAAATGAAGGTGTCTGCTGAAGGCAGAAGCAGCAAGAGGCCCAGTCCTTTTCTTTCTGCAGACCCTGCCTTCCTCTCCTGCTGCTAAGGGACAAGATGACAGACACATCATTGCAATTTGCAACATTGCAAACTAAATTATATCCAGATATAGTTTAGTTTACAATGATGTAGTCATTTTATACCCCCAAAATTGGTGCATGTGTAATGCGTGGTGCAATTAAGCCACACAAATTACATTTTTGTCACGTGTATATTGTGACAACCGTCATGTGTACAAGCACCCCAGGAGATTAGATACCAGTCAGTTGTTTTTAGAAGCAGAGGGTGCCTGTACATGAGCATGAGGGCTGCTCCAATGCACTGTAATTCCAGTGTATCGAAGCATGGTAATTACCATGTATAAGCACCCCTGCACTTAAAAATGGCGGCAAACAAGCTTTAGTTCAAGTGCCTCTGCTGTCATTTTTAAGTACGGGGATGCTGATACATGAGATGCTGTGGCATTTCAATTAGAGCAGCTCTGCGAGCTACTCTAATTAATGCGGCACTCCCAGCCCTCCCAAGCTACATGTAACAGTGCCCAGAGGTACCAACACTCACAATCTGCTTTGTGCGTCTTATTAGGTGAGAGCTAGGATACTGAAGTGCTCAGTGATGTCAGGTCTTAGGTGATTCTGTACATACCCAGAAGCATTAATTTAGGAGCTAGAGTGCAATGCCAGTAGAAGGTTGATCCCTAAGGAATTAAGCCACCTTCAAGGTTGGGCAAAAGCTGAGGGGTTCTTTGAGTATTTCATTGGAACTGAAATGTTGTATGTAAGTGTCTCAAGTGTTGTTCAAAGTGTACCTGAGTCCCTTTGTGGACTTAAAGTCAACAGCACCTTTGTCTAAAACATCAAAACTTACCAAAGATTAAGGGATCTATGTTTATTAAATTTTCCATTGTTGTATATTAATGTAAAGGAATCTATATAATGAATAGTTACTATCAGCTGAAATTATCACTGTTTTTCCTCTGGATATCCAAGGAAAGAAATTTTAATTTCATTTGCAAGAGAATTATAAAGCAAGAAGCCACAAGGTCATTTTTCTAACAGTTTTATGTAGGTAGGTGTAACAGGGATCTAGCAGGCTCCTGTTACTTTAAGAGGAGACTGCAGCAGGATGAGCTAGCTATCTTCTAGGGCTGTGAGAGGCTTTGGACCATGCTTCAGATCTAGAGAAGCTTCGGACACCAAAGCATCCAAAGCAGCACGTCCAGATCAAAGCGGTTTGGAGCTTCCGAAACGTTTCGGAGCCGCTTCAGAGATCCAGCCATAGGGTACAATGGGGAATCAATTAAATATCTATAACTTTGTTGTTTTTTGTTTGATTTAGATGAAACTCCTAAGGGTGTTAGCCTCTGCTGAGAGCATGAAGCCTGCCAAGTTTCAAGAAGATAGGTGCAGGGGTTTGGGGGGGAACTGCATCTCAAGCTGCTGACAGGCAAAACTTGTGACATAGATGACTCTGTGTGTTAAGGCTCCGTGGGCCGAAAACTGCAGGGGTGGTGGCTGCTGCTCAGGCCATGAAGCCTGCCAAGTTTCAAGAAGATAGGTGCAGGGGTTTTGGGGGAACTGCTCCTCAAGCTGTGAACAAGCAAAACTCATGACATGGGTAGCACTGTGTGTGTCAAGGCACAGCAGGGTGAAAGCTGCAGGCATGCTAGCCCCTGCTGCAGCCACAAAGCCTGCCAGCTGTCAAAGAGATAGGTGCAGGGGTTTTGGGGGAACTGCTCCTCAAGCTGTGAACAAGCAAAACTCATGACATGGGTGCTTGTGCAACTGACTGTCTCTGTCCTGGGGCAGTTGATTGTCTGTATTGATTATTTCCTTTCCTTAGTCTGTGGTTTCATAGGTGTTAATCCTTGATCGTTAACTTGTTAAAGTTATAGATATTTCACTGATTTCCTCATTATACCCTGTGCCGGGATCTCAGAGGTGGCTCCGAAGCTTTGGAGCCACTTCGGGCAGATTGAAGCAGGAAATGGATCTGGAGCTCTGGATCAGATCGCTGGCATCTGAAGCAGCTGGATCTGAAGCCAGATCGAATAGCTGCCTACTTGCACAGACCTACTATCTTCTAGGAAAAACACAGACTTATATCCAGCTGTCAGTAGCAAGAGGCAGAGGGCAGACCTTTAGGCTGCTCAAGAGTCCAGAGCTTCAAACAGCAGTTAAGCATCAGGAAAGGAAAGCAGGCTGGCCATTAGGCCCAGAAAGAAAACCCCTGTGTGGCTGCAAAGTCACCTGACTGGAAAGGCCAGGGCTTAAGGAGTATACAATCACAGAGCCCAAGCCAGGACAACCAGTCTGGCCCTGCAGAAGAAAAAGCTCCTTAGCAGGAAGGCTAAAGAGGAGTGTATGGCTGGAGCCATACACTCCAGCACAATGGGCCTGGGCTACAGAAAAGGGATGGAGGCCAGGAAGGCTGAGGCCCCAGTGAGGGTGTAGAGGCTGGAGGAGACCTGATATGGGACTAGGGATGAGTGCTCACTGAAATAATTAATTGGTAACACCTGAGAAGCATGGGTGTGGCTATAGGGGAGGTCAGAGGCCATGAATAGCTTATAAGGCAGCAGGTGCCCTGGGGAGCATGGATGGGCCAGGAGGGCCAATTTGATGTTAAGGACAGGATAGCGTGCAGTGGGTATGGAAAGGACTTGCTGGTGGACTATAGATAAAGGCTCATTTGGGGACCCTGGGGCAGCCTCCCTTTTCACATTCCAATTATTCCATCAAAGGCATGGCAGGAAAGGAAGGAGGGAGGATAACTTAGGAGCTGGAGCAGGACAAGAGCTGCATGGCCACCAGGGGGCATCAGGGCTGCCCCTAGGTCCTGGTCCTTGTTACAGTAGGCAAGTAGCATGCTACTTGAAGCCTGGGAAACAGGAAGGAGAAAATAGGAATGATTACTCTCATATAATTCAAGAACTACTATTTACATCTTTTTTTCATAGCCATTTACCACAAGTTCTTTTGATAGATACCTCAGGTAATTTAGAGTTTCCTATTGCCCCTCACATGTTCAAAGTACTGTACTAATATCAGAAATTCATTGTTACATCACTCCATGAACGAAGCAAAAAAAACCCTCTTTTACTGATGGTGAAATTAGTGGAGAAATTAAATGACTCACCTAAAGTCAAAAGAAATAGCTTAGTCATGTTTAGAATTTAGGATTTCTTATGTCCCAACCCAGTACTTATTCCTCCCCACCTCAGTATTGTGTAAATTTCATTGTTTTACTGCTTTTCCTAGGGGGAGGTACCCTTTATTCACAAGCATAGGGAGAAAAGGCCTATAGATGCTCATTAAGTCAGTAGTTTCTGTTTTCTTTTTCAGATCAGCACTATGTAGTGTGGCTCCTGATTGTGACTATAGCCTATAACTGGAACTGTTGGTTCATTCCACTGCGCTGTATGTTCCCAGTTCAAACATCAAGCAACCTATTTTACTGGATTATCATAGATATCCTATGCGATATCTGCTACCTGTGTGACTTGCTGATATTCCAGCCCCGAAAGCAATTTGTAAAAGGTGGAGATATAATAGTAAGTAAGGCTGGGTAGCCTCATTTAGTAATTATTTTTAATCATATTCTTAAATGTGAAGTAAAAACTTGCTTACAAGCCAAATAGATAAGGACGCATGGATGTGCATTGTGAAAAACATCTATATAAATACATATATGTGCTTCTGCATTGATTTTTAGCCCTGGAAGAGGTGTGAAATACATTTTATACTGTACATGCTATAGCAGTATTGTATTTATACACACAACAATCACTGGAAAGGTAACAGCAGCGTGTTACAGCGAGTGTCTAATGACTTAGGAAAGATTAGATTTTAAATACTTACACAATCAGCACAGGTGGAAAAGACCAAATAGGTGCAACTTTTCTAGGATGTTAGACGATATTTCAGTGAAGCCAAGGAAATATATTTGCAATTTACAACTCCCCTCCCTAGGCCACTCACATGGAATGGAAGCTGCAGATGAAGACATAGCCTTTTCTACTAGGAGGATGGACGTTCCATTACCCACAAGATTTCAAAATTTCAAATCTAAATGAAAATAAAGACAAGAAGATTTCAAAATTCGCTGTGAAGAAAATTACAATATATATATATCCTGGTCATTTGAAATGTTTTGTTTGGATAAGATTTAAACATTTCATTTCAGTTGTGACTTATTAAATTATAATACAAAATAAAAGATCTAACCAAAAGTAGTTTCTAAATAGAAGAACAGAAACATTTCATCTGAAAATGTCAAAAATGGGAAGTTTTAACGTTGTCAGAACTTTATTTGCCATATCTAAATGAAATCCCAGAAAAAAATCACCTTAGCGCACACAGGCTGATACAATAGGGCAGGGGTTGTCAACCAGGGATACGCATACCGCCAGAGGTACTTAGAAAGGCTGTAGGGGGTACGCGTGGGCTGGTAAGGATGGAGCGCACCCAGAGGCATGGCGAGGGCGTCTCCCCCAGTACCTTTCCATACCTTGCTACTGACCTGGGAGAGGGGCACGCCAGGCACTGCTGGCCCCACACGGCACACTGCGACACTTCCCCACCCCCACCTCAACTCACTCTCTGTGCCCACTCCTAGGACCAGGGCCAGGGGAGGCGAGGAGAGCAGTGTCCCTCTGCAGGCTGTACACACACTGCCCAGCCATGGGGAAGGGGAGCAGGGCTCATACGTAGTGGCCGCCACCAACCTGCACCACCACTGCTGCTGCTGCTGCTGCACCCCACACTGCTTTCCTGCAGCCAGTCACACGTGCAGCTCCATGGGCTGCTCATGCTCACCTCCCATCAGCAGCCCGTGGAGCCACACATGCAACTGGCCATGGGAAAGTGGTACAGGGAACTGGTCGCACGGGGTGGTGGCAGCCACCGCATGTGAGCCCCCCCCCAACCAGTCTGGTTGCCCAGCTGGCGTGTATGTGGCCTACAGAGGGGCACTGCTGCCCTCGCTCCCCGGCCCTGCTCCTGGGAGCAAGCACAGAGAGACACTCACCCCCCTCCATTCATGATCTGTCCCCGCCCAGCCCCTTCCCTTCACACACACTTACCTGCTGGGGGGGGTGTGCATGTGTGTGTGCATGTGCGTGTCTGGGTCTGCATCTGTGTGTGTGTGTGGGTGTGTGTGTGCCTCTCTGTGTCTTTGTGTCTTTGTGTGTGGGTGCCTGTCCCCTGCCCACCTGGCTGCAGCAGGCACATGGCATCACATGGCTCTTGAGGCAGTGGGGTGCAGAGTCCAGGATGCAGAAGCAGCTGCCTCCACCCTGTGCACAGATCTGGGGGGCACATGCCCCCCGGACCTCCACCGGGGTGTGCGCAGCAGCAGGAACTGCCCCCACCCCATGCCTCCCGGACACACTGCTCTCGTGCCTCCGCATTCCGCCCTGGCTGCACAGCGCCTACCCCTGCCCCTGCCCCTGCCCCACTCCTCCCTCACCACAGAGACCTTGATCTGATCTCCCCACACCACTTAAAACCAAGAAAAAAATATTAAGGGGTACATGAGTTGCAACTTTGAGGCAGACATGGTACACTTGTTAAAAAAGGTAAAAAAACCGTGTAATAGGGGTATGTCAATGTTTTTCATTAGCTGTAGTTTCTACTAGCTTAATAGAATTGCCTTTAGTTTCTATATGACAGACTTCAAAATATATAGGGTGCAAATCAATGAAAGCTTTGACTGTGTTTTAACTTGACATACATTTTTACATGGCCAGACTCTGTAAGAGAATTCAATATAATTTATGTCCTATTTTCTAACATTAAAAGGCAGCAAATCTCAAAAATTCAGAAGTTGGAGCAAGTGATGAAAAGAAGGAAGCTGATAGAGACATCCTAGCTATTGAAAGGAAGCACCTAATGGCCAGCAGAGAGGGCACTGGTATTAGTAGTCGAAGCCCATCTAGAGTTGCATGGGCAGAGACCTTTAGAAAAGACTGGGCTATAGCCTTTTATTTGGGGGAAGCTGAAGAATTCACTTAAGGGATGGAACATTGCAGCTACATGACATGTAACCTCAGTTCAGCTAAATTCAAAGCAAGGTAATGATGCAGATTAGCTTTTGGATGCTTAAACTACCCATTTGATTGACTGTGGTTCCAGTTGCACTATGTTACCTCCTCCTATGTCATTTCAGCCTGAGAGAATTTTCAGGATAACTGCGCAAAATTGCCTGATCCCATCACCCCAGACTGCTTTCTGACACCACTAGAATTTAGTAGGCCAGACTCCCTGCCAGCTCTAAGTGAGCAGAATACAGAGCCTAAGGTGGGGAAAACTGGCAGACAGGGAAGGCTTGCAGTGAGACATAGCTGCTACCACCTTCTGTCCAACAGATGGACTCACAAGTGGTTAGCACAGCCCAAGGATGTCAGGTGCTAGGCATGGCCAAAACAACCTGGGAGATGCAAGCTCTGAGAAACTTGCAATGGCAAAACTCCTGTGGAGACAGATACTAGCAAAACTTAATGCTGTCAAGAAAGCCACTTGTCATGAAAACACTGCTTTCTTTTTCTTAGAGCAGTGGTGTGTGCGCAAATTCCCTCTCCTGGCTAACATTCTGTAGCTTGTGCCTTTTCATGCTGGCAGGGGTGATTCTGATTCGGTATCTCTGAAAATGAATTGAACACAAGCAAATTTGGTATGGTAATTCCACTGCTTTCAGAACCATGATTATTTGTCATGCTCTATCTTTCTAGAACTTTTAAAACCTATTGATATTGTTACCTCTGGTTTTCCTGCACATGTTTATAAACTCAATTTTGGCCTATCACTTGCAAGTAGATATGGGACCCAGCTATGTATTTCAGATGAAAATACAGGCCTTCCCCACTCCTCCTTCAGAAGGATACAATTTATGTCTAAAGAGTGTTGTGCTGTGTTGAGGCATACCTCACCCCTTCAGCACCTGTTAGCTGAGAGGTAGAGCATCTTAGCACACAGTGCTGCACAAATGTAGCTATGCCACTTATTTTGAGAGCTAGTGTGCAGAGAATGGGTGCAATAGTCTCAGAATGTCACTGCCTTGTACCATATAGTCTCATGGATCTTGGTTGGCTTTTTCTCTCTGCCATGATTACTTTATTAAAACTAATGTTATAATAATGAAATGTGATTAACATGCAAACTATTAGAGAAGAGATAACTTCAGTCTACCACATTGCACAACAGCAAGAACATTTAAAATTAGGACCAATTTTTCTACCAGCCTTTGTTCAGTGTTTGTATGCACCATTCTATTTACTTACATGCTGCTGGCTACTATTTGAAACAGGGGAGGGCAAAGTCCAGTCAACGGGCTAGCAGTGGACTCCATTTCTCAGCAGCCTCTGCCCACTTGGCTGGGGCCAGTTTCCTAGGCGACCCAGGCCACATCTGTGATTTGTGATAGCACAAAGCTGGGGTTGCCATGGAGACCAGCCCCAGTCACTCTGACAGGGCATACAGCAGGGCAGGGCAGGGGGCTGCTCCAGAGCTGCTGGGTTGTTGTGGCGAGGGCAGCTTGGTCTGGGGCCATGGCAGAGTTGCGATCTGCAGCCTGCACACTCCAGGTAGGGGCACACAGGCAGTAGATCAAGGCTCTGCTCCGGCTCAGGACCAGGAGCAGGCTGTCACTGCTGCAAGGAGCCGGAGCAGAGCTGCAATCTGCTGCCTGTGTGCCCCTGCCTGGAGCACGCAGGCTGCAGATCACAGCTCTGCCCTGGTCCTAGGCGAAGCTGCCCCCACTGCAAGATCCCAGCGGCTCCGGAGCAGGCCGCTGCACACCCTGCTAGTGTGGCTGGTGGTGGTCTCCATGGCAACCACAGCCTTGCACTATCACAGTGTAAGTGTAGCTAGGGTCTCCATGGAGACTGGCCCCAGCCATGAGGCAGGGGCTGCTGGGAAATGGAGTCCGGCTGCCAGCCAGATCTGCCATTTTGCCCACCCCTGATTTAAAACCTTACTTTAAGATCTTACATAGAGCTACATAAACAAAATTAGTACACTTACTAACTGTAGTGTACAATCAAGTATTTTTCCATGCCAACTCATTCAGTTACTGGCATCTTTTCTTAAATTCTGCTACACTTGAGTTTTGTGAATAAAATTAAAAATTGTAGCATAAGGAAAATTGTTTTCTTATTTCATTATGAAATGTTTGCAGGATTCATGAATTTTAAAGTTAAACGGAACCATTCTGATTATCTTGAATCTGACCTCCCGTATTTGAGATAAACTAGTGAAGTGCTACTAATAAATAATAGAATATAGGTTTCCTTAGTATGGAAAAATCCCTAGGTTTTTAAAGCTATTTAAAAATACCTCTCATACAAATATAGTAAGTATAATAATAGGCACATTCCTTTAGATGCTTCTGATTAGCTTTTCCTAATAAAGTATAAGCACCAGTTCCCATAGAGAGCAAATTGAAAATAAATGGCTAATCATTATTAATGAATGCAATGTTGATTGTTAAAATGCTAATTATTGCACATTTATTTAGGTTTCAATGGCCTAATCTTGTACAGAGTCATCAGTATAACTCCACTCACGTGTTTTGGAGTGAGCAGTCTGATTGTGCAGTTAAAGCCTGATCCTGAATTGAAGTCAATAGGAGTTTTGCCACTGACTTGAATGGAGTTTTGCCACTGACTTGAATGGTCAAACATTAGGCTTTAGATTAGCAGATGACATTCCTTTCAACATTTCTTAACTAAGATTTCTCCCCTTCCATTATCATTTCAGGCAGACAAGGTAGAAATGAAAGAATTCTACCAAAAATCTTTGAAATTTCGGGTGAGTAGATCATTTGCTATTTTACCCTTGTTTCAGTGCTTTAAGTGAAAAGTTTCATTCACTTGAGGATTACTAAGGGGTCACTGACTGTATGGCATTTTAGCTTCTCATCCAATAAATCTAATGCTTTTGTCTTCCTAAATATTTTTTCTTTGTTAAAGAAATACTACCTTTAGATGCATCATTCCCATTTTCTATGATGAGAGGTAGCTTCTTGTATGCATTAGAAACCAAAAATGTACCACAGAAGATATTTGTTAAACAAAGAAAGAAGCATGGTGCCCAGCCTAAAATCAGATACTAATGTTTATTAAGAAACTCTCATATGTACCTTGTGATGAAAATGTGTGATAATGAACATTTAGTGGATACTGTTATGGTTCCATGAGAGTAAATCTAAAGCTTTTGTTCACATTTAAAGCCCAGTGCCTTAGGTCAGGGGTTTTCAACCTTTTTTTAACAAGTATATGTGATAGCTGGCCTGTGACAAGTGTATCCCTTCTCTCTCAAAGTTCCAGCTCAGGTACCCCTTTATATTTTGTTCTTGTTTATATGGGATGGGGGGTGCAAATCAAGGCCCCTGTGGTGACAGAGGGAGTGGGGCTGGGGTTGGGGCTGGAGCTGCACAGCTGGGGCAGAGCATGGGACAGCCACGAGCAGCTCATCCGGGGGATGCAGGGACGGGGTGGTGGCTCTCTGGTGCACGCACCCCAGGAGGGCATGGGGGCATGTGCTCCTGGATCTGCATGCGAGGCAAGGGAGGGCTGGCCCAGGGGTGGGGGAGGGAGTGGGGCTGGGGCAGAGGCTGCCCACCTGGAGCGGGGCAGGGGACTGAGCCACGCAAGGGGCGGCTTCCACAGCTATGCGCACCCCCAGGAGGGCACAGAGGCATGTACCACAGATCTGAGCAGGGGAGGGTGGACTGCCACTGCTGGCCGGGGCCACTGCCAGGCTGTTCCCAGCAGGGGCTGGGCCATGTTGTGCTTGGAGCAGGTGGTGGCAGTGATGGGAGGGGCCTTTGTGGGGGCTACAGTGAATCCTGGAGTGACTGCAGCCCAGGTTAGCCCCCTCCCAGTGCCACCACTGCCCACCCCAAGTGCAACCCAGCCCAGGCCCTGCTGGGAAAAGTCTATCACCACTCCAGCCCCAGCTGACAGAGGCACCCCATCCTGCCCCATGCAGACTCCCGGGCACATACCCCTATGCCCTCCCAGGGTGCATGCAGTGGTGGGAGCCACCACCCCCTGTTCCCTGGATGAGCCACAGCTCTGTCCTGCACTCTGCCATTGCATGCACTCCTGGGGTGCACAGAGGGTGTGTGCTTACAGATCTGCACACAGGGAGAGGCGGGCTGCAGCTGTGGGCTGGGGCCAGTGCCCAGCTGTTTCCAGTGGGGGCTGAGCCAGGCTGCACTGGGGGATGGGTGATGGTTGCACTGGGAGGGGGTTATCAGGGAGGCTATGGTGAATTTTGGGGTTGCTGCAGCCCCTCCCATAGCCCCTTCCCAGCACTGCCGCCACCTGCCCAGAGCTCAGCCCAGACTAGCCACCACCAGGAATAGCCTGGTGTAGCTCTGGCCGAGGCCCGCAGCGGCATCTCGCCCTGCCCTGTGCAGATCCGGGAGCACACACCCACAAAGTCCTCCCAGCTCAGTCTGGCACCCCATCCTGGCTGGTCATCCTCTGCCCCTGCTCCAGCCCCACTCCTTCCCTGACCGCTGCGGCCTTGATCTTCCCCCTTCTTCAGCCCCTTCCCTCACAACATACTTACCAGCTGGATCTGCCACCTGCATGCTGTGCAGCAGCTGTGCACATGCATATGGCATGTATCGATCACATTAGGTCTGCATACCCCCTAGGACCTTTTTAAGTACCCCTAGGGGTATGTGTACCCCTTGATGACAACCACTGGCTTAGGTAAATCAAGGATGCATTTGATTAGGACAGTTACTGCACTTGATTTTGAAATGTAATTTTCCCAGCCAGAGTACAGAGACACTGTAATATCTGAAGGCCTCAGTAATGGGTATGTGCATCTCAGGACCTTCCAATATGATCTAGCACACCACTTTTGCAAATGCTTTCTTTTGTACTTGCTTCTATTCAAGTACACAAGTAATGATTTTGGTGGCATTGCTTGCATCCTTCAAGTTATTATAATTGTGATTAGTTGCGCGATGAAAAAAACAGTCACAATTAATCACAATTTTAATTGCACAGCTAAAAACTCAAAATTATGCAAAATTATGCAGGTACTTTGGATAGTTGGGGTGGGGATAGGGTTTGTGTGTCAAGGGAAATTTGTGAATGTGTGAGGGTGGAGTTTGGAGCCTGGAGAGGGATGGGGGTCCCTGCATGCCCCTGCAGGATGTGAGGTAGTATGGGTCAGGAGTGAAGGGCAGCAGCAGGGAGGGAGAGGGCTGTGGTTTGGGAGTGAGGGGAAGGGCATGGGCATATCACTGCCCCCCCACAATCATATTACACCCCCCACCACAGGTGCCCTCTTTTTTTTAAACTGGAATTGTGGTAACTCGGTGGCATATACAGCAGCACCCAGCAGGTAAATCTGTGAAGGGGAAGGGACTGTGGCTTCCTGCACTGTGTGCACCCCTGGGAGAGGCAAGGGGGGCAGGTACCCCCCCAGTTTTGTGAATGGGGCAGAGGTGGGCTGCCCACTGAAGGCTGGGGCTCTGCACCCTGCTACCTTTGCCCTGGGAGCTAAGTGCTGGCTGTGCTGCATGGGCTGTGCCCACCAGGTGACAGGAGGCACAACATGGCATAGCACAGCACCCAGGGCAAAAGCAGCAAGGTGCAGAGACCCAGCCTGCAGCAGGCAGCCTGCTTCTGCCCAACGCACAAATCCAGGGGGCACATATCCCCCATGCCTCCCCCAGGGGTGCATGCAGCAGGGGGCATCTGCACCCCCACACCTCTGGAAAAGCCTCCTGTAGCTCCATCCCATTACCCATCCTGGCCTCAGGGGCCCCATTCACCCCAGCCCTTGCCCCACTTCCCCCCTCACTGTGGAGGCCTTGATCTGCTCCCCTGCCCCTTCCCCACCATGGGCTTACCTTCTCAGTGCTGCTCAACACACTGCCAGGCTGTGTTCCTGGCTGCATGCATGCTGCAGCTGCTTGTGTGTGTGTGTGTGTGTGTGTGTGTGTGTGTGTGTGTGTGTGTGTGTGTGTGTGTGTGTGTGTGTGTGCGCGCGCCCCCCCCCACCTTTTCTGCTGCAGCAGCCGAGAGCCCACACCTGGGCTGCCCTGCAGCTCCTCTGGACTGCCACTGCTGCCCTTCTGGGCAGCCCAGAGGCAGTGGTGATGGTGGCAGAGCACAGCCCGGGCACTGGCTCCAAAACCATGTGCGTGATTAACGTGTTAAAAAATTAATGCAAGAACTAATTAACATGTTAATCACAACATGTTAACAGTGACTAATTGACAACCCTATTTCTTACCATAGGAGGAATAGCAGGGCAGAGTTGTAGCCAGGAGTTGTCACTTTAAAAGACAGCACCCAACTACCACAGTTCCCTTTCTCTCCACAAAACAGGCTTTCCTCTTGGAAAGAATGAGGAAACAAGAGAGAACCAGCTGTGAAAACATGTTAGTCTTAGTCGCATCTCTTCAGGAATTGGTGGGAGGTGCTCAGAAACTATGGTGATAAAAGAACCTGCATGGAATAGAACAGAATGGTTGCATTAAAGGGAACCTGAGGTGACACCTCTGATATGTTTAGAGCAGGCAGTGCACTCCCAGGTTACTGGAGGCAATGGCTCTGACATTCATAGTCCTACTAAGAGAGGCTTGTGTGGTGCTCTTTTCTTTTCTCTCACACAACACACATCTCAGGCTGATCCAATAGCATTTAATCATTTAAATATAGCATTGCTTTTAATAATATCGAAGATATTTTTAATAATCCTTAGATAAAAATCTGAGGAATGTGAAAAGCCATTGGTATTTTTAAAGAGATTATATTGCTTGTCACTTATTTAGAAAGATATGGGAACTGCATGTTGACTGATCATATTCCGTGCACAATGCTTATTTAATTTAGACATGTTCACAACAACATGTAAACACATTTTAATTATTGTTAAGTCTTAATTGAATTGTGCTTTTCAACAGTTTGACCTGGCATCAGTAATACCATTTGATGTTCTATACATCTTCTTTGGGTTTAACCCCATGTTTAGAGCCAACAGGGTATTAAAGGTAAGACCAAGTAAACATAAAAAGTTTGAAACCTTGTAAAAATTTCACTAAAATCTTTGGGACTTTTAACTTCTTATGTATAAATACTTCTTTCTATGGGTCGAAACCACAGAATCTATAAATGGCTACAACATAAATATATAAAAGATATATTGCCTTTTTTGAATATGTAGACAACAGATATACTGTCTAACAGGAATCATAGTTCTGGAGCTTTTCTGCTGATTTTACTTTTCTTTACTTTTTTTTACTTGTAAATAGTGCTTCTGTTATCCAGGCTGAATATCTTCCATTTATGTAAACTGCAAATACTTAGAAAAATCAACCACTGACAGGCAAGGGAATGAAGAGTTAAAGATAATGTAAATCTTTACTACCCATGTAATAAACCCAAGCACATTATTTCATACCAAATACAAAGAAATGCACAATGCTCAATGAAGTGTGGATGGGACAGGAAAGAGACAGACCATAGTTCTGCCTGCTCTCCACATCAGCTTGCAAAGTTGTCTGCATGATGTGGAGAGGGGCAGCCTGCACATTTCTCTTGCATCAGCAAAGACCTTCCTGGAGGTCTCAGTGAAGTTGTGGGCCTCCACATTATTCCTTTGAGGTGCCTGGAAGCTAGATACTTTTATTTAACTCCAATTTTGTTATTCCCACCATTGAAAAGTTCACTACTACATGAAACAGTATCAAAATCTTTCTTTTTATCTATATAGGCAAAGTACTCATTAACTTGGCATGTGAGCAGTATACAATGGGAAAAGCATCTGCTTCAAAACCAAAACCCTTTATGTACCTTTCCCTTCTAAAAAAATGTTTCTTTCCTCCAGTCCTGGCAAGGCATCTGACAAAGTAGGATAGTGCCTACGAAAATGTGTGCTTCTCGAAGTCAGTTAAGTCTTTTAGGCCCCTGGCAAATGTTACAATTTTGGTACAATTAACCTACTAATTGTGTCACAAATTGCAATGTGCCACATATTTGGTGAATTTATAGCATGATAAAATGGCTAGCCAGCCACAAATACATCCCACACTTAATGAAGAACAACTTGGTGGTTTGTTTGTATTGTTGCTTTAAAGGACAGCTTGGGACCAAGGTTCCCTGATGCCCAGATGTACACGTTCTAGTAGAGAAACTGTGGGCCTGGGGATGTGCACCTAGGGACTGAGGAGCTCCACAATCCCTGGCTGTATATACTTCAGCAAGGAAGTAGTGCACGTGCATTTGGCAAATGGAGAGCTTCCTAGTCCCAACTGCATGCTTCCATGATGAACCATGAGCTGTGGCTCTCTCCACCCAATCAGCAGAGGCAGCCTCATATCCCAGCTCAGGGACCCAGGACTCTTCCCCACCTGAATCCCCAGTCCTGTATTAAGAACTCAGGGCTGCTCCCCACCCGTGGAAAGGCATGTCTGTACAGCCCAACATTAGGGAACTGGTTCCTAAATGTGGGACTGCTCCAGCATTGCCTGCTCCATAGTTGCATGATTGGGATTTGAAGAATTTTATCCCCAGTCCCAAAAATAATGTGTCCTGCCATACACATACTGGCAAGACAGGATATGGGATTTTTAGGATCAGACACAAAATTCCTCAGATCCCAAATGCATGATCATTGTAACGTCAACTGGGGGCTTAACATGCTATTGTGCCCTACCTTCTGCCTTGTCTTCAAACTAACACGGCTAACCACACCAAAACCCTTTATGGTAATATAGTTGATATATAACCTTAGACCAAATATTTACCTAAAAAAAGTCTCACTTTGTTATCTTAATCATCATGTGCCTGTAAAAAGAACTAAGGTGAAGGGAGGAAGGGCCAGTGGCATGCTTTTTAATATCCTTTCCAGCAAACGTGGCTTGTTTTTGTGCTGTTGTTATCAACAAGTATCCATAACTCATAACCAGACTGATAAGGGAGAATGTAAAATGAAGAACTCGTATAACAAATTGGCAAGCAAATGCATGCTGACCAGAAAACAAATTTAAAAAATACATGGTAATGTTAAAAGTGAACAGCAAAACTAAGTAAAAATAGTTACTGTGGGAGGAATTCAGCACATGAATAGATTGTCAGTGTTTAATAATTTAGTATGAGAACTGAAGTCACTGAGACCTCACATTGTTATGTTATAGAATGATGCAGTCTGGAATATCATCAGCTAATCAGGGACAAGAAAAAAGATCTTTAAAATGATATACTCACTCTGGCAAAATTATGTTTAATGCAGACAAAGAGAGTTTTTTTGTCTGAATAAAAGAATTGTTTATCATCATCATCATAAGTCACTATGGTTCATAGTAAGGGATCTTCCATAGCTTGTGTAATGCAAAAATGCCCACCTAAATTTATGCTTAACTCATTTTTTATATTAGTTCTGCAGTTCACTTTTAAACTAAATGCACAAAGCAAGTCAGAGTAGAAAAAAATGCTGTAGTTACAAGATAGGTATGTTTACTAATGTGCATCCCAGTAGAAAAGAAAATGTGATAAGATATCACATAATATGTGATAAGATGTGCTGGATTGCTTACATTTGATTTCCATCTAGCATAACACGTTCTTTGAGTTTAACGATCGGTTGGAAGCTATCCTGGACAAAGCATACGTCTACAGGTATGTACCCAGTAGACCCTTCATTGAAAGGTTAGCACAGAATGTGAGTCATTCTAGCAGTGTACTCGTGCTCATTCTTGCAAGAGAAAGGTTCTCTCACAAGGGAGTTCTTCCAGGTGTCAATTTGAAAGATCTTTCTCCCGGAGTGGGCATGTTTCCTCTAGATGAAAATGAATGAACACTTGTACTTTCCTACTTTCTCCAGTGAGAATGGCAATTCTTCCGGTAGAAATTTAACATCTATACATGGCCTTTTTCTCACAGGCTGTCAGTCAGGCATGGTATACAAATGATAAACCTCAAACTATTCCTTTCAGTCATTGTCTTTTATATATCTTCATTGTGTTTTAAATATCTCCATTTTCTTCATTGTAGTCCCTGATCCTGTAATCAGTTATGCATATGAATAACTTTATTTACATGAGAAATCCCATTCCATTCAGTTGGGTTGCATGTACGAGTAAAGTTACTCTCATGCATAAGTGTTTACCACTAGCTACAGAAAATCTCCTAAATAAAGAAGGGCTTCTTTAATGGGAGAATTACAGAAGTAACTTAGTTACAGGAAGTAAATTTACAGGAAGTAACTTTGCTTATGGCAGTATTCCAGTGCTCTGTAGTTAATCACTAGCACTAGCTAGTTGATTAGCTAGTCCATTTATTATTTTTTATTTTCTTCTGTTCTTGAGAAGAACAAATTGTTATTTGAGTTAAGGCATGGATCAGTGACTCTGAGGCATATACATCTCCAAAATTGTGTGCCTTGTGGCTCTCTGTCATATACAGTACTGGTTTGCTGATAAAAGCATTAACAGGTTTGGCTGTCTCTGGTCTATGCAATACATGTATCTGGAGAATTTTTCCCTGGCTAGTTCCAGGGTGCCCATAGGTTAATAGGCTGCTGCATCATAAGCAAAAACCCTTCCATGCTATCCTGTTGTATTGCATGGTCAATTCCATTTAAATTAAAGATCTGGGATTCTTACATTGCAAAACATATTTCATGAGATTTAGAAACAGGACTAAAATGTAAAAAGAAATGAAAGCATCATTTATGTAATGTCTTTGGATATTTTATAAATATAGGAGGTGATGATTTGGAAATCCATTCAAGTATTTTTAGGTGTCTGCTGCTGTATTTTCTAAAGTCATTTGATATCAAGACTCTCAGGGCATGTCTACATGTCACCATGTGGCGACATTGCTATAGCGCCACTTTAGTACTTCCTTTTGGAAGTACTAAAGAACAGCACAGTAATTGCCCATAGTGAGCCATGCGCCTGGCACTAAAATGGGGGAGTGTGCTGCTACAACAGCATAGCTGCCAATCACGTGTAGACCCATGTGATTACTACATCGGCATAGTGCATTGTTACATCACCATAGAGTGACAGGTAGATGTGCCCTCAGACTCAAACGCAGTCTTGGATCAATGGGTCTAATTCTCAGCATTTCAGAATTCAGTTCAGAATTGGAAGAGCTGCCTTCTCTGTAGTTCCTACCTAATATTGAGCAACTTTCCTATAGCTTTGTGTCAATGCTCCCTCTCATTCCATTTAAATCTTATCTGAAGATATTTGATCTTCCTTGCCTACCCTATATTTCTCTATTTCTTCCTGTTTACTATGTACTTTAAATCTATAACCATATTTATTAACTAGATCAGGTGTTGGTTGATAGTATTTAATACTTATTTAGTGCTTCCCATACTGGTGATTCACAAGCCTCTTGTTAGAAAGGTTTGATAGGGAAATTGAAGCACAGTGAAGGTAGGTAATATGCACAGGGTCACATACTGAGAAAAAGCTAGAGGATGCTTGGACACCTCTCCACCTATTTCCACCTAAGTCCGCCATTAGGTGCCATTAACATTTCAAAAATTGCTGCTCAGCTGTCACCTCATCTTGTAGCTACCCAAGTCCTCTAGCATTTAATTTCCACCAGTCTGCACAAAGCTCTCTAGGTGATCATGTCACCCTATGCCTGCTAAGCTGTTCAGAGTCTTACATCAGGCCAAAGCCCTGCAGGCTCCAAAGCAGATTGTCAGACTAAATGTTCCCCCATTTAATAAGAATGTGATCTTGCACACATACTTGGAGTATGCCTTAGCTAGATGCAGCTTGTAGAAAAGACAGTTTTTTGTCTGCCTATCCTCTGGCAGTTACTGCTCACTCCCAGGGATATGAGACCCAGGTTTATATCCCTGTTCTGCCTGATTCAGAGCAAGGACTTCCACATGACAGGTCAGTTTCTTAACCACTAAAGTACTGAATTTTCGGTGATACTCCACCTCCTTTTCTCTTTTGTTTTCCACAGACTAGAAAACAGTGTAGATGAGCCCAGTTCCTTTCCCTCTGCAAATCACTCCTGACTAGCTTAGCCAGTAGTTAGGCAGCTTCCTGCTCAGCTGACTTCTCAGGATCCTGCCTTTATGGGCCTACGTCACCCCATGTATTCCTTAAAGATCATGAGTGCTCCATGTCGGGACAAATCTTCCTTTGACAACATATTTAGTGATTAGGCCTGAAGCACTGGCCTAATTTACAGGATCTAGCCTAAAATGACAGAGCCTGGATCTGCTGCTATGCCTACTAAATTATGGACCCTCTTTGCTAACAGGTTTGGTATATAACTTACCTAAGTAAAAAAGTTTCTGAACAAAGGACTGTCCTGTGATAAAGGAAGGTGTTGTGGTTTTCTTTTAATTGGGTGAACTATTTTCTCAAGAAAGTGAAGGACCAAAAAATGCTGGCTTTACCCAGAAGCTGACATTTGGCAAACTTCCTCAGAGAGCTCTGTCTGTGCAGCACATTTCTGACCTGAAACACCTATGGCTCCAGCCCTGAAACCTTCTTGAGCAGGTGTTGTCAAGCACATTGATTTGTACCCAACACTTCTGTTAATATAGTTCAAATTCTTTATGAATATTCATAGCCAAGTAACCAATGGATTATAAAGTCCTAAGAGAAACTTAGGTGTGACCACGCATCATTTATTCTACAAAGGTAATTTATTTGACACCAGGAAGAATGGAGAGATGGTCAAGGTGCTGTATTGTGGCAACATATAGTAGGCGTTGCATAAGGCAAAATAAAATCAGCCTACATTAGCAGGAGTTACATCAGCTGTAATTTAGAATGCATTGTCCTTTACAGAGTCATTCGAACAACTGGATACCTGCTGTTTATCTTGCACATTAATGCATGCCTTTATTACTGGGCTTCAGACTATGAAGGAATTGGCAGCACCAAATGGGTGTATGATGGCAAAGGAAATATGTAAGTCCTGTTTTCGCAAAAGACCTTTCTTGATTTTCTTTTTTCCCCCCTGTTCCCCAGCTTTGCTTGCAAGATGGAGATCTGTCCTTATTTTTACAACTGCTAGGGTAGCTAACTTTTAGCACTATTGCTGCTAATTGTTGGTAATGAATTATGCTAATTATTTGGAGGGCAGGTGCAGTGTATAATTAGTTTCCCACTCTGAGTTTTTATGTGTTTATAAGTCAGCTCTAACCACTAACTTAATTAAACATTTAGAAAGTAACAAGGGCCATAAATTAAACTTGCTGATTAGGTATGCACATGGAGAAGGGCTACAGGAAAAAATAATAATCATTTGAAAGGGCCAGGTGAGCAGAATTATGGTGTAATATAAGATACCCTTATGTCTTTACTCTGTGTAGACCCTACAACTATTGGTCTGAAAAAGTTGCACTTGTTTTCTGTCATCTTTGATATAGGTCACACTTAAGCATGTGGTAAAAAGAAACTCTATTGAAAAGGGCTGGCACTGGCATCTCTGCCAAGAGCTGTTCACTGCAACTATGGGATTTATGCCAAGGAATACCCATTAATTAGGATGAAGGAAAGAATAGCAAAAGTCATATGGTGTATACTGGAGGTACAGATACATAAACACATTTGAATTGGTTTCAAGGGCATTGATAAATGTAAAGCCAGAAAGGCCTAAGAGTATCCATTAATTACTTATTTTAGAAATGAAATTCAGAACCCCTTTAGTAGCTTTCAGGCAGCCCCTTTGCCTGTGATTTTGGCAAACTCCATGAGCTACACAAGGTTAAGTGTGTTCAGTATTTTGTTGAGAGACCTGCACGAAAAAAATCTCTGCAGAAAGTAGTCTTTGGGGATGGAAGATGCTGTGGAAAGTGGTGTTATTAAATTGTTCATTATTAACAATAGTTAGATGATTTCTAAATAAGCTATAAGTGTCCATAGCCCACTAAGTGGGTCCATAGCAGGCACTGGATTCCAGTTTTCCCAACTACTGCAAATGGGAGCCATCCTATTGTCATCAATGGGAACGCTCATCTGGGTAAAGATAAACATATGTGCACCTCTTTAGAGAATCTGAGCTGTGGACTTTCAGGATTCTGCCAAAAACAGTAAAGATGGAATTTTGAGTAGAGATGTTTCAGTCAGTGATATTTTGGGTAACATTTCCCCCTAAACATACTGCAATATCCTGAGTGCAGTGATAGTTAACAATAGGGACTGCTTTATGAAGTCCCTTGGTCTTTGTTTTTTTGTGGGTTTTTTTGTCTGGAACAGAAAGGAAGATGAGAGCAGAGGAACTTCACATGTTTCATGGATGGAAATATTTTACATTCATGTTCAGAAGACCAATAGCAGAGATTGTCTGCTAGGTTGATCCTTCACAATCAGTCAAACTCTGCCCACAGACAATGAGTATAATGTTTAATTTGGTGTCACCTTCTGTCTAAGGAGATAAAAGCAGTTTGCAAATGTAGTGTTTACTGCAATCAAGCATGATTAAAGGCTCAATTTGGCTCAGTGCTTATTATATATACTCATAGTTAAAATAATATACTGATATAAAACATATTAGAATATATTTCTTTTTGTCATTAAACTAATAGACATTTAGATTAATAACTCCTTGTGACAGGATCAGAGCCCAGGGATGGCCATGACTCCCCCAGGTGATCACTCAGCCCCTGTCCCTCCCTCCCTTCAGCTCCCTGGGGTACCTCCCTTTCTATCTCACCTGTCATGCCTTCATATTATTTATAAGGGTTTAGGAAGCTGCCCCCAGGGCCCCAGAGTAAGCCTGGTCTAGTTCCACCTTGCTCCTGTGACACTATGTTATGGCCTTCCTGGCCCTTTTAGTGCCACAGGACACCAGTTGCCTTATGACGTATTTGTAGCCTCTTTCCACCCCAGTAGCCACAACCATGCCTTACATTTGTTCCTCTAAGTCTTGTACTGGGTCCACTGGCTCTGTCAAGACAACCTGCCTAGCCTACCGAGCCCCTAGCCCTGGCAAGGCTCACTTCTACCTGGGCCCCGTCCCTAATCTGGATGCTGCCTCTATTGGACTTCAGCCCCTTTCAGCATGCTTTAGTCCTCTTGGCTTAAGCCTGCCCTGGCTTCAGCCTCTCTACTGTGGCCTTGGTTCTCCTGGCCTTTGCCTGGCTCCTCCAGCTCTCTACTAGGCCCCTGATCCCAGGCTAGGTTGGCCATTGGTCCAGTTTTATACTGGACCATCCTGCTTTTAAACCCATTGTGCCCTGTTGATTCCTGAATGAGGAACAGACTGCAAAAAGTCCTGATTTTCAGTTCATTGGTGGAAATGCATGTCAACCATTTGTCCTCAGAGTTCTATTGGCTGTGCCTAGCGGTATGGGAGTGCACAGCCAGGATGAACAAGGTTCTGAGCCAGCCAGGGAGGGAGGTGGAAGATGCCAGGGGCTGGTCCCTCTGTGCCTGAAGGAGGAGCCATGGCTGCAGTGCAAGTGCAGGTACAGTGAGAGCCTAGGCACTGTTGCATGCCTGAGCTCCTTGACCCTAGACTGGGCTTGTGCCAGTGGGCCTGGGCTGCCAGGACTGGGCAAGTGATCTGCACACAAACACCTTGGCGTAAGGTAATGGCTTTGAGAGCAGGCAGGTGGAACATTGCATTTGTATCTGCTAGAACGCCAGTGGGACTGGGAGGAATCTGTGGTCACCGTCTTTGCACCCACAGAGCAGCTCAGTGAGTCCCTGGGGTGTCCTGTTGTGCAGGGAGAGGGAGTTTTGAGCAGAGGGGCCTCCAAGCTCCTGAGCAACTGGGCCAGCTCATTAAGCCATTATTTCTCCTCTGGGACAGTCAAACCTGTCTGTCTCTTGGGGAAGAAAGAGAAGGTCCCGCCAGGTAGCTGGCTGCACTACCACGGGCATCCAGTGTCCACTCACCCCATTCAGCCCAGCTGTGACCAGGTGTGGCCAGGGCAGATTCCTGGGTGCCCAGTGTCTGTGCTGAATGCTGATAGGAGGGAGGTGAGGTCCCTGCACAGTGTGTGCCCCTGGCTCCCAAGTGGGGAGTGAGGCTGGAGTGAGACTGGAGGGGGTATTTGAGCCTCATACCTATAGTGCCACGTTCTCTCAAGGCTGCACTGTCTGGGGAGAATGGCAGAGCTGTGAGATATGTGAAACCATGATGCAAGGGGAGGAGGCGAGGCTCCCTGCTGGCTGAACTGCAGAGGCTCACAAACTTGCTACCTGATCCTAGCATTTGCTTTCCCTCATTTCACAGGGCACCATGCATTCATCAGTGTGGGGCTCATGGATCGAATAGCAATCTTTTTGTGGTCTTTTTGTGGTGGTCCCGCACCTTGCTGCTGATTGGCCAAGGGGCCAGGGACCCACCTCTCGCTCCTGATTGGCTGAGGAGACAGTAGCCCCAACCCTCGCCACTGATTGGCCAAGGGGACCAGTGGTCTCACCCCTCACCAACGGGATGTCCTGTGTTTCGCAGATGTAACAGTGGCCACCCTACCCCAAGCTAGGCTATTAGTTACTGAGTGCCCTGCCAGGCACCTCTCCATGGCCTCCACACTTACCCCATAGCCACAACCAATTAACCTAATCACAATATAAACACAAGCACAGTGGCTGTATAACAAAAATTCTCCCTACACTAGATCAGTACAAGCTATCAGTCCCCCCTTGGCTTTTGCCGCACAGCTCTCTGGGACAACATGGGTGCCAGTTGGCTCATCTGCAGACACCTTGCACAGGAGCTCCCCACCCTGCAGGGCCAGAGTACCCTGCTAGCTCCCAGGTACTGATGCCCCAGAGCTCCAGCCCTTCCTGTCTCTTGGCTCTTCTGTTACCACCAGGGGTTTCTAGTTTGGCTACTAATCAGCTTGCCCTACTTGCTGCAGCTTGACTCAGCTGCCCCTATTTGGCTAATGTGCTTAGGCTGTTCATACCCTGCACTCTCCCAGGGTCCATGACAGACCCCAGGCTCGGGGCTTGTTTTCTTGTTGGGGCTTGGCCCCTGTAGGCTACAAGAGTCCTGTTCCCCCTTTGACTGTAGCTAATACAGTTGGATTCCTGGCTGCCATCCTTTTGAGAGGCTACATATATAAATTGTCTAAATGTGGACTTGGTAGCTTAGCTTCAGGCACTGATTGTTTTAAAATCTTAAAATGTAGATTTCTAGAGCCAGGCAGTAAAAGAGGATGTCACCAAAAACCATTCTGTGCCTACTCGCTTCTGTTTTGTACCTGCTGCGTGCCAGAAAAATGTCACATAGCTACTTTTGGCACATGTACAGAGCAGGCCTAGCATCAGTCTCAGGCTTTCAGTCTTATGTGTCCTGATGAGCATGATGCTGAGCATGCCTAGCACTATTTGAATACCAGCTATGTGACATTTTTTGGCATGTAATGCTCATGGAGCAGAAGCAAAAAGGTAGATCATGTTCTAATGGCACTTCCCAATATGGAGTAGACATGCCCTTAATTTAACTACATATATAACCATTAATACACATGTAGCGTATTACTTATACAACAGTTATACTCTCAAATCACCAAATAGTAAGCCTCAAGAAGGATGAAATTACTGGCTTACCCTTAGATTCCTTTTTTATAAATCCAGTGCTAAATGGAAATAGTGTAATCAGCAATTTATATTTATTTATTCCTGGTGTGCAAAAAAATGTATTTTTTATAAGTGCAGCTGAATGAAAAAGATACCTTTATTAAATGATCCCCCATTATTTCTGTCTACACCTAAATAAGGTAGTAATTAGGGTTGAATTTAAAATTAGGCAGACAGATTTTTCCAATCCCATTTTTAACTGTAAACATGACAAGTCACACTGCTGCAAGCTGTAATGTCGTAAGATCTCCTAATGTAAGCAGGAGTTTTTATTTGGATGGGAAAAAAAACTATTTCTGTGATTCAGTAGGTGAAGCCATGCTCTAGTACAGGGGCTGGCAACATTTTTGGGCAAAGTGCCAAAAATAGCA